TCTCTGGTTTTCGGAAAAGTGTAGGTTCACTAAGGGCCACAAGAGAAACCAAAAATCTTTCAAAACCGGTCATATAGATTTAATGTTCCACCAAAATATGGCTGAAATATTGCCTACTCAGTGTTAAACCCTTATCAATCAATCAATCAAATCATGACCCCTGGTGTATGATTTGGCCACTCTTGGTGAATTCAAAGTTTTAAAGGGGTATAAATATGAAAAATCTTCAAAAATCTTCTTCTCATTAACAAAGCCATGATCAGTCATATTTACATGGAAGCACACTCAGATAGTGTAAATTAAAATTTGTTCAAATCATGACCCTCAGGGATAGAGTGGAGCCAATGGGAGATCAAAGTATAACATATGAATACATAGAAAAAATTTTAACAATCTTTTTGCCCAGGAACACAAAAGCCATGATCAGTCATATTTAAAAAAAAATATCTTCACAGGTAGTATACATTCAAGTTTATTCAAATCATGACCCCACAAGGTAAGGTGGAGATACACTTGTTGATCAAGATTTCATATATAGGTAACGATGATCAGGAAGAGCCATTATTAACTCAGGTTAACATTGTGGTGCATGTGCCTCTTTTTACATTACTTAGAATTTTTAATCAAAGAGTAGATTAATCATCACATCACTAGAACAATATGTCTTCAAATTTTAGTGATTCTTTCCATTTTCAACTATAACGTAGTTATTTTATTAGGAAAAATGAAGGGTTTTTGCAATTGGGAATGGGGCCTAAATTCTGCCCTACAAAGGGAGAGGAAAATCCCTGAAAACTGAGTAAAACTTCTGTTTAGGGATGGAAAAATATACTATCTAAGTAACATAATTTATTGTGTCCTTCCTGTTACACTGAATTAAATATGTATGAATATATTTATTTAATCATATTAAACTGATATTAAAAATGCTGAAAAGTGATTTTTAAAAAGAAACTGTTTTTTCTTCAAAGATTATTTAAACGATATATATATATATATATATATATATATATATATATATATATATATATATATATATATATGCTTAAAAGAAAAAAATCTCATAAATTTTCCGTTCTATAACAATCCCTGTCTTTCCTGTTACAAACATATATTTCGAAATCCTTTACTTTAAAGAATTAGCATTTTATTACCGGTATAGAAAAAAGAACAAAAAATAGAATGAATATTACAGAATATTAATATGAAAATAATATTAAATCTGACAAATTAATAAAAGGCCATATTTTTTTCTGATTTTAAGAAAATCTATCCATACTGTTACAATATGGTATGTCTTTCCTGTTGCAAAAAAACTTTTTATGTTTTAACATACATATTTGAACCAACAAGCCCTCACTCAGGGTGTATTCATTTTACATAATACTTTATTAAAAACTGTATGAAAATTAATTGCTAGATTAATGATAACATAGGTCTTACATCCTTATTTTATGTAATGTTTGTCTTTCCTGTTAAAAAAATTGTCTTTACTGTTACAAATTTACACGTAACAGGATGGACAATAACATGATAGACAAAATTTTACTCTATATTTGGTTCTTTATTTTCCTTATTGATTACCATACAAGCTAATGATGCAGTAGGTTTGAAACAAAATTTTAAAGTTATTTTGTAAGAAAAGTTTTAATTTCTCTATTCCAATGTTACTGCTTATTTTCGATGTAACAGTACAGACATATTTTTTTTCTACTGAGTAAATCATACTTAATATATTTTGAACATTTTCTTCAAACGATCAAATTTGAATGAATGGCATCAACAACTTGGTTTCATGTTTTTGAAACTGAGGCTGGTAATAAGTATGGAAACAAGAAGATTCAATCTAAATATATCTACTTTCTGTTTTTTCATTAGCATAACAGGAGAAACAAAAACTAGTGGGACACACATTTTAGTATTGATATTTATAAGACAAGCATATTTACAAAATTTAAGTGTTAATTTGTATAGCATATATGTTAAGAATACTTTTAGGCATACAAGGAAAAAATGAGAAAAAAATTAACTCAATTTGGCTATAAACACTCGTACATTCAACGCAAAGGAGTGTAGGACATCGTAAAATATGTTCATATACACATTTATAAATGCATTTTTTCTCTAAATATATCATACAGCAACAAAATTAGTATTCTGCCAACTACACAATAATGTATTCTGATTGATTGATTGATTGTATGTTGTTTAACGTCCCATTCGAGAATTTTTCACTCATATAGAGACGTCACCATATACCGGTGAAGGGCTTCAAATTTTGACCTTTACTCGGCACTCAGGGCCATTGAGCAGTGAGGGATCTTTATCGTGCCAACGCCTACCGTGACACGGGGCCTCGGCTTTTAAGGTCTCATCCGAAGGACCCGCAACTTTCACTTCAAAGTGCCGAGCGCATGGCGAAGGAACAGTTGCTACCCATTTTTTATCGACTTAGGTCAGTCGCGGCCGAGATTCGAACTCACGACCTCCCGATCACGGAGCGAATAATGTATTCTGAATAGTAAAGTAAAAATTATATAATTTTTACTTCCTATACTTTTTTACTGACTTGTGACCAAAATGTTGGTGGATTTTGATAATGACTCATAGTTCTATACGTCCCTACTACCTTAAACAGGCTGTTAAATCAGATAACCACTGTTCAAAATACTTACTTTAAAACTTTCCAAGCACCTTTTTGATTGTAGTAACAATTTTTATCTTCAACTATTAAAAGACTAACAAAGACTATCCTCAAAACTTTCCGAAATAAATAATAAACGTCTCAGGAATCAGTAGCTCCAGCTCTCCTGCAAGTTGCAACAGTCAACACTCAGGACGCTGCATCCATACGACAGGAAATGTCAATGACGTCATGGAAAATTAAGTCGTTCAGAAAAGTCTCCTTCTGCATTCCATAGGAGAAGTAAAAGGTCGCCCGAGACGACTTCGCACTGGTACAGGAGATAAAATCTTCGAACGAATGCTCTTGGGTCAATTGGCAACGAATACTTCCATGTAGGGGGATGACCATTTGATTCTGAGGGAGGGGGTGAGGGAGGGGGGCTGGCAAATTTTGACTTGTAATGCTTCATACCTAAGACTTTTCATACAGATCCGCATTTTCGAAGAGGGTCTGCGTTTTCTAGAGGGAATCCCAGGTCCCTTGTAACTTGGTTTAGTATATGAATTTAATAACTCTGCAAATTCCAGGGGGTCCAGACCCCCACTGACCCCCCCCCCCTTAGATCCCCGCATGTATAAAATGAACATGTTAATGTTAGAATATCTGCTCCGTGGTCAAAAATATGCATTTTGTGATTAAAATAAATATTATTTTGGTGTCTTCAAAATAAAATAAAAGCATCTTTATTGCAGGAACGGCATAGAATTTAAATAAAGGAGACAATTAATTAATTAAGAAATAAATTAATTCCTACCGGCAGTGTTGAATTCCATGTCGTACATCCAAATCACTATAATGCAAGAGTTGGAAGATGTGTTTGTGAAACACTGATGCCACAGTTTGGGAGCTTACGGAGAAGGGTAAAATTTCTCAAATGCAAATTAGTCTCCAAGGTAAAGGTCAAAAGATCAATAAAATTGTTACCCAAATACCCAAAAGGACTTGTCTCAATAAATATACCTGCTTGTGAAGTGCCAATCGTTCAAAAGTTGTGGCCAAGGTTAACTTTTTTTCTAAAGCTGGTCAAACTCCAAGGTCAAGGTAAAAATTTTTGGTATCCAAAGGAAGGTTTTATCACAATAAATATACTTGTAAAACATGAAAGTCCTAGTTCTTTTTTTTTATTGACTTTAGCCATAAACAAACACATACAAACACATAAACAAACACAGACACACCACGACTGCAAAGCTTACATACAGATTTTTAGGAATATACATGAAATACAAAAAAAAAATTATGAATACACAGAACATACTAAAATAATAATATAGATGACATAAATTTATCTATATGTTTATGCTTTCAAATATCTGGTTCCAGTTAGTCCATCTTCTTCTATACACATGAAGTTCATTGTTAAATTTATACAATTTTTCTTCAAATTTATAATACACATATAAGTATTTCATGATAATTTGGATAGTTATATTTTGGTTTTTTCTTGATTGTTGAAAAATGCACTGATTAATAAGTAGCAATATAAGATTAATAATTGTGTCTTCTTTAGAAGAACCAAGTATAACGTTCCTTGCATACATCAAATTTTATTATTTTTCCAGTTTTTTTTTCAAATATCCAATCTTCTAAAAGAGACCACAGTGGGTTAACTTTAGGACAATAAAAGAAAATATGTACAATTGATTCAACATTTTGCTAACATAAAGAACATAGATTATTTTCTCTCATTTTTGACAAAAACAAATACTTATTTGTACCAAGAATCCTATGTATCATTCTAAAATTAAACCATAAAAACCTTGTGTCTAATATTTTTTATGAGTTAATTTCCAATTAAATGCCTACTGTAACTGCAGTTCTTTAGTCCATTTTGATTAACACTTTGGTGAAGTATATACATGTAATGACAAATATGTATCATAAATTGTTTTAGAACCTTTTTATCTTTATTGATGATTTCCACAAATTTTGGCTGATAAGGTCTTGTGACAAAATTTATACTAATATTAATAACATTTGGCCAAGAATGCAAAATTACCCTTTTTATACCTTCGTATATAGTAAAAGGGACTTTTAAAGAAAATTCTTTAACAAGATCATCAAATTACCATTACTATCAAATAAATCACCAGAAAGTCCTAGTTCTTACTCTTCAAAAATTAGAGCAATTTTACTTTGAGGGGGCACAACTATACACTTTCAGTTGGGGGCACTGTCAAGTACCAAAAATCCTTGACAAGCAAGCAAAAAAAAAAAGGACATCAGACGTTATTCTTGAGGGGGCACAAGCATATAGTAGCTATGTTTTCTATAGTCTTCTATATATCGGCAAAATTATTGGGGGGGGGGGGGCATGGCGTCTGGAGGAGTAGAAGCAAAAGTATATGTAGTTTCGGCCTCGCAAGAAAGGAAAACAGACAAAAGAGAATATCGGTTGACCGTAGTATTCGACAACACGACTAAGGAGATGAAGCAAATGACATTCCCTCTAAAATTTAAAGATCATCTCCTGACGGGGAAATTTTACCTGATTAAGGCTGTCAGCATAGGCGACACTATTCGCCTATACGAAACTTCCCGGGTAAGAATAAATTATATTCAAGACAAATAAAAAAGTTGTTTAAGGAAAATGTTGCTCTTCTAGTGTAGTATGAAACGTCGTTTAAATAATTAAAATATCTTAGGAATTCTACTTTATTCATTCTTTAAAAATCGTCTTAAAATTACACCCCATCGCTAGTAATGAAAAGTCTGCTGAAGATCTAGTAGCCTGACAATATTATTGCTCTTCGTGAAAAATTAGGGCATACGTTTTACATCTGCGTTAGGCAAACGTGTCTCAGCTCGTCTAAGAAAGCGAAATCTTGACTTCGATCCCTATCAATTGAAACCTTACTGCAGGTACAATTTAATGTAAATTTCTTGTAGAAAGTAGAAAATTTGCTAAACAACAGAACGTTGATACATAAAAATTTGTTACCCGCGTCAGAATTTTGGCCTCTCGGAAGACCATGGGCAGATGTGTACACGGTTATTTTTAACATTGCAGTAAGTTGAGGTTTTAATGCCATGTTCATATGAATCCGCATTAAAATTTTACTTCGCACTGAAAATGCATTAATTCTTTGGAAATGCTCTTCCATCCTCCTGTATAATAAGCAAACAAACTGCATGGTTATATTGATGAGAGGTGCCTCCATCAAAATTGTCAAATTAAATATTCAATTTCCATTCTCCAACTTTTGTAGGGATGCATATATATATATATATATATATATATATATATATATATATATATATAAGATTGAAATTGCGCACGCATTTCCAGGTAATTTAATTACCAGAAAATACAGACCAAGTTTGACAAATTTTAAACTTATAATGGCATTTGAAATTTTGCTCCTTACCTGCAAGAGCATTAGTGCTATTACGACACTTCAAGTCTTCAAATATTTCATACTTAATTCAGATAGTGCAGATTTAAATGTTCAAATCATAATCCCTGGGGGCACCATGGGGTAACGATAGGGGATGAAAGTTTTATATAGGAATATATACATGTATCAGAAAAATCTTCTCAAGAAGAATAAAGCCATGTTTAGTCATATTGAAATGGAAGCATTCAAAGACAGTTTAAATAGATTCAAGTTCCTTCAAATTTCAAGCATTCCCCCTCTCCACCTTGTTGATAACTTGCATGAAAGTTTACACACACTTTCTTTAGGCATGCAGGGATTAATCTAGGTTTTGGGAGAAACTACCTTTTCTGAAGAAATTGGGAAAATCAGCTAGGGTTTGGGGGGTCAATCCAGACCCCAAACGGGTGCAGGGCTAGCACAATTGGGGGGCCCAACTGAATATCATCATTTTAATATACCATTTAAAGTGCATAAAATAGCAAAGAAAAACCATACTTCACATCTTCTGAACATTTTTACTTTAAATTTCCACTTTTTATAAAGGAAAAAATTATTTGATCTTTTTAGCTCACTTAAAGTGAGCTTTTCTGATCACCCTTTGTCCGTCTTCCGTCTGTAAACTTTTCATATTTTCAACTTCTCAAGAACCACTCGACCAATTTTAATCAAACTTGATACAAAGCATCCTTGGGTAAAGGACAGTTTAAATTGTTAAAATAAAGGGCCAAGCCCCCTTCCAGGAGGAGATAATCAAGAAAAGACAAAAATAGGGTGGGTCATCAAAAAAATCTTCTTCTCAAGAACCACTGAGCCAGAAAAGCTGAAATTTATGTGGAAGCATCCTGGGGTAGAGTAGATTCTAAACTGTACAAATCATGACCCCCGGGGGTAGGGCGGGGCAACAATAGGAAATCAAACTTTTACATTAAAATATGTAGAAAAAATCTTTCGAAATCTTCTTCTTAAGAACCACTGGGCCAGAAAAGCTGAAACTTATGTGAAAGCATCCTGGGGTAGTGTAGATTCTAAATTGTATAAATCATCACCCCCAGGCGAAGGGCAGGCCATAATAGGGAATCCAAGTTTTACATAGAAATAAGTAGTAAAAATCTTTAAAAATCTTCTCAAGAACCACTGGGTCAGAAAAGCTGAAACTTAGTTAGGTAGAAGTATCCTGGCATAGTGTAGATTATAAATTGTCAAAATCATGACCCCAGGGGTAGGGCAGGGCCACAATAGGGAATCCAAGTTTTACATTGAAATATGAAGAAAAAACCTCTAAAAATGTTCTTCTCAAGATCCACTGTACCAGAAAAGCTGAAACTTAGGTAGAAGCATCCTAGAGTAGTGAAGATAACATTAATTATTAAAATCATGACCCCTGGGGGTAGGGCTGGGCCACAATAGTTATTACACTGGGGGAAATCTGGTGAAGAACAGCAGGGCCAAAATTACTCAGGTGAGCATTGTGGCCCATGGGCCTCTTAATTGCTATCATTGTCAGGGGAATTAAATTTTTTCTCATCAAAAGTGGAAAATGGGATATTCAGGGGAGATTTCACTTGGGCAAAAAAAAACGAATATCAGTAGTAAATATGCCTTAGATTAATCCCTGGCATGTCATATGGTGGGATTGACTTTCTGTTTGAATATGATGTCAACTTCCTGTTCATCTGTGCGTCTGTCTGTATAATATCTAACAAATTTTTGTAACAGTCTTCTCTAGAACAACTCATTACAGATGCTTGAAATCTTAACACACTCTTTGTTGAAGCAATATATGCCATATGGTGGGATTTATTAGTCCCCTACCGGTGAAACCGGAGGGGACTATAGGTTTCCTCTGAGTCTGTCCGTCCGTCTATCTGTCCCTCTGTCTGTCTGTCAGTCTGTCCCACTTGGTTTTCCGCACTTTTTTCCTAAACGCTTGCAGATATTGAGCTGATTTTTGGTATGTGAGTGTATCTTGATGAGTTATAGATCAAGTTTGCATTTCGTCCCACTTCATTGATTTTTGACGGAATTATGGCATTTTCAATTTTTAGGGGGAACCAGATTACACTTGCTGGTAGGGGACTAGTATTGCTAATGCAATACTCTCAGAATGCTTGTTTTTGTATGAATCTGTGTGATTTTAACTTCCTGTTTATCAATGCATCTGTCTATAACTGAACACGCGTACATATAACAGCTAGGGTTTATACTTAACTAAAATTTTCACTAGCCATGTGGGCTCCTAAAGTTTCAAATTTAGGAGCCCACAGCTAAATTTGTTAGCCCAAAACCCTCTGATTTGTTTTAACTATTTGAATACACTGGGACAAAATTAGATACCAGTTTAATGTAAATACCTTTGTTTAAAATTAAAATTGAAGTTCTTACTATGTAAAATCAAATACCATAATGATATTAATATTTGATCATAGGAAATAAAATTCAATAAACAATTTTACTATCCTTTTTTACAAGTCCCTTTTGTTGCTCATTGGACTATAAAGCCTTAGCTATTGATGAAGTGACACTGGCACATCAATAAGATTTTTTTTTAGTTTAATTATTTTTGAAACATATCTGAAACAAGATGTGTTTGTGAAAACTGATGCCCCCGTATGGCAGCTTATGGCGAAGGTTAAAGTTTCTCAAATGCAAGTCAAAATCCAGGCCAAAAGATAAAAAATGTTAAATTTGAAAGCCCTAACTGCATCTGTTCAAAAGTTATGGCGAAGGTTAAAGTTTTTTAAAAGTAAGTAAAACGTCAAAGTTGTTGGTATCCAAAGGAAGGTCTTCTCACAAGGATTACATATGTAAAGTATGAAAGCCCTAGCACCAACCATTTAAAAATTATGGCCAAGGTCAAAGTTTTTCAAAAGAAGTTCAAAGGTCAAAGGGTCAAAGTGGTTGGTATCCAAAGGAAAGTGATGTCACAAGGATTACATATGTGAAGTATGAAAGCCCTAGCATCAACCATTCAAAAGTTATGGCCAAGGTTAAAGTTTTTCAAAAGGAGGTCAAACTCCTAGGCCAAGGTCAAAGGGTCAAAGAGGTTGGTATCCAGAGGAAGGTCTTGTCACAAGGAATACACATGTGAAGTTTGAAACCCCAAGCACCAACTGTTCAAAAGTCATGGCCAACGTTAAAGTCTCATAAAATTTTGCAAAAGTGGGTCAAACTCAAAGGTCAAAAGGTCAAAGTTGTTGGTATCCAAAGAAAGGCCTTGTCACAAAGAATACACATGTGAAGTTTGAAACCCCAAGCACCAACTGTTCAGAAGTTGTGGCCAAGGTTAAAGTCTCATAAAATTTTGCAAAAGTGGGTCAAACTACAAGGTCAAGCTCAAAAGGTCAAATATGATGGTACCCAAAGAAAGGTCTTGTCACAAGGAATACACATGTGAATATGAAAGTCATAGCTCCAACCAATCAAAAGTTATGGGCAAGGTTAAAGTTGACAACAGACAGACAGACAAACAGATAAACAGACAAACAGACAGACAGGACAAAAACAATACACCCCCAGGATCTTTCCATCCGGGGGCATAATAAGATTAGGCACCTAATAACACTTTTATTTATATTATTGACTAATTGGAAATAATGTAATTGTATAATTATCACGTATCCATACATAAAGGAATGCAGGAAATTTGGATTAGGAACATTTAAAAAAAAAAGACAATCGTTTTAAAGATTTCACAAATCATGTAGTACTGGTAAATGGATTAGATGAAGGATATTTACGTTAAATAGGACCATGCCACTTTGATTTCTTGAATTGAACAGAGTTTTAAAGCAAAAACCTGGGGAAAACATGTTTTTCAATAAGGAGACTGCGAATGAATTCCGCTCCTGCAGATTTTAATTCACCATGTGGGCGAACAAGTGCTACATTTTATGAGCAGGTCACACCAAGTTTTACTCACAATTAGCGAGTGGGCGAGTGCTAAGTTTAAACCCTGTAATCACATGATACAGTGTATATATTCACATCAGAGCAGGACTATTACTAGTGAGCATTGTTTGCTTTGACAACATATATAATAGTTATATCAAACCTGAGCCAACCACGCAATAAAAGCCCCTTGTGATATTATTTATTAGCAGTCTTTTAATTTTATATTCAATTCAAAAGAATAAATTCTCAGGCTTTTTGTTTTATCATTATTACTATTGTGAAGAATGGCCATAGTCATAATAAGTCATATTAACAATTTCGTAGGCATCAAATAGTATATAAATACATGTGTGTGGGATTTGACTTTTATTGAACATTTAATTTAATTGTCTTTCTTAGAATATAATTACCTGGTCTCTACATTTTCCAATAGTCATAGTTGATGTTAAGTTTTAGTCCCATATTTATAACTTTATTTGTCTTCACATGTGCTCAAGTTAAATTTACCTCCATATATTGGTTATCATTCCGAACTTAATTTGGTTCTTGACTATTCATTGGTTCAAAGTACGTACTTTCAACATATCAGAAGTGATTTTAGATATTCACAATATTTACTATTTTATAGCTAGCTAGTTAGAATGATTTTCATTGGTTAGAGTTTATATATCAACCCCAGATTTACCCAAAAGTTAAAGTTTCTCTTCTTCTCTCTAAGGGGTTTAATCCCTGAGATGTAATGCCCATACAGTCTCATTATTTGGTTTAGGACATGGTCTAAATACTGTAAAATGTAACTAACTCCTTAGCTGGAGTCACATTAGTTCAACAATGAATTAGATATCCCTAGGCCTTTATAGTGTTATTTATAATGAATAAATTGCCTTAAGTGTCCCTTGTGTAATAAATATAGGACTTAATTAATTTAGGAAATTTTCAGTCTACTTGCATCAAGAGTCCCTCTATATTTTCTAGGGTGTTATGTGGAATCTCTTAGGGTGTATGGAAGCTTTCAACTATTTTGATAGATTTCTCTTAGGGTATTACACTCATAACCAAAATAACTGTTAAAATTCAAACTTCTTCTTTCAAGATGTTGATCATAGTCTAGGATCTCAGAACCTGGGTTGAATAAAACAGGACTACTTGTACTTTTACATAGTTATTAGTGTGCTTAGTCTGTTCCTTGGTATTATTTCGTAAAGTTGAAAGATAATTTTGCTATTCATATATACTTTCTTGAAGATTGAGTACACTTTGCGGCCATAGAAAAACTGGTTCCGGAGTTTCACATATTATAATGTTTCCCACTTTTTTCAAGGTATTCGAGTGTGGAAAATTTCCACTTGAAATGGATAAAATTAAGAAGTACCTAAACCCTCCTGAACTTTCAGTAGAACAAGTGTTGGAATCTCCACAAAAGTCAACAGTCAGTGTGAAAGGAATCCTCCGTAATGTAAGTTGCACTGAATTTATCTGAATAAAACTTCAGCAATATAGTTGTTGTTAACATTCATTATATTATTTCTCATGAGATATTTTTTAATCTCAAGTATTTTTTCGTAATCTTATTATCTCTGTCAGAAAATTGATACTAAAGGGTCAAAAAAGTTTCAAACATTAAAGTTAATTTAATTCAACGCCTATGGAACTTTTCCTGCATTAAATGCACTAGGAGTAGTGTTTTACAAATTAATTTAAATGAACATTTTAATTCTAGTACACAGACATACTTACATCACCTAACAGTCAGAGAAGGGAAATTACATTGGAGTCCTTGCAGGGTGCAAGAAAAGTTGTCTGCAAGCTCTGGGGGGAATGCGCAAAGTATGAAATGCCTCCAGTGGACACAATAATATCGGCAACAAATGTTCAAGTGGATCAGTGGAGAGGAGAAATCTGTCTTAATTCCAGTGTGTTAACACGTTTGAAGGTAAGAGAGTATACAAAAAAAGTCGATCATCTCCAACTTGTTCTGTAAGTCATCATAGTGAAGAAAAAAAAAATTAATATCTGCTCATTCTCAACAAGCACAGTAAAAATACATACATACATACATATATATATATATATATATATATATATATATATATATATATATATATATATATATATATATATATATATATATATATATATATATATATTCCTAAATCCTAAATTGCACACATTTATACTTCTTTTTCTGAATCACAGAGGGTGTATGGTAAACTTTTTTCATAAATTTATATTTCATTATAATACTTAAGGATTATTGCTTGTATTTCATACAGAAATAAAATCATTCCTTTCAGATTACATATCAAGCAAGTTAGGGATAAGATAAACATATTTGTAATAAGGCTCCTGCAAAAGATATGGAATGCCTTGCTATACAAATTACAATGCCTGTATTTAAAACAAATTGTTTCCATAGAGGTATATTAATTTGCCTCTTTGTCTTTTTGTATGTATATCTATAGATACTTTTGAGGTGGTGTGATAACTCAAATCATTTTCTAATTTTATAAGGACAACTATAACTAATATTTTTTGTATGATACTAAGTACTAAGTCATCCTTGGCTTACCAATTAATGCTTTTTCAAGTACAATTTGAAGATTCTGTCACAGCATTTCTATGTGTCTGACATGTGCTATATTAATCCAGGATGACCATCATTTTTGATTATGGAAAATAAAATATTGTTTTATTTATTTAGGAAACTCAAGAAGAAGGCAAGTTCCAAGGAGAAGTTGAAGCGTTGGAGGTTTCTGAGTAAGTTTCATATGCAGTGGAGTGACATCCTTGCATAATTTATACAGGGTCCACACATTTTGTATCCCCTACTCAAGAATAATAACTAAGCCAATTTCAACCAAACTTGTTACAAAGCATCCTTGTATGAAATGATTGAACATTGTTCAAATAAAAATTCTTTACAAATATAGAGATATAAAGAACGAAAACCACTACTGCAGAAAAACCAATAAGAAAATAAAATGCAGACTCTTTACCTTAGATTAATCAACTTTTTTCAAACCATAAACCCGCTGTACAAACATTTTAGTTTCATAATTATGCCTGTAACCTAAATAACTTCAGAATTCTATCAAATGGAAACTTCACTTTTTTTGGTATTTTCACGTCAAAGGTAAATGTTGGTCCAATCAAGGTCATCGGAGGTTCAAGGTTATATAGTCTTGATTGTCCTTGCCCTTGTTAGGAATATTTTGATTTACACAGATTGATATTCCTCTTAGAACATCACATTAACTTTTAAATATGTATCAATAAATTTTTACAAACTTTTCAAATTATTTCTTAAAATGTTAATAGAAACTACAGTTACATCATAGTGAATGGGATGACACTCAAGATCCGTACAGATATGATACAGACCATCTTTGAAGGTTTGACCTTCAAAGAGAACATCAGTGTGAAAGGATCTGTGAAAGGCACCACTGTAGTGGATATGTAAGTATTCATCACCTTTTGAGAGTTAATATTTTTGAAAATGGATTGAAGTTTGTGAGATATATTAACATTTTTTTGCAACATTCCATTTAAATTCCTTTCTTTAGAAATAATGCAACTTTATAAACCGAAATTTAATAAATTTTAATTCCAAAATAGATGGCAAATTCTTCAAATTAGTACACTGATTTTCAAAATTATGTTGCTTTAAGCAAAAAAAAAAATACTGGTTGCACAATAGGCAAATATATATATATATATATATATATACATATATATATATATATATATATATATATATATATATATATATATATATATATATATATACTTCTCTTTTTCAAATTGCAGCCAGCGCTTCAATCCTGCCAAAAAGACAAAGAAAGAATAGAAAATAGAAGTCGGACTTGGTGTTGCCTGCCTTTAAAAAAAAAAAAAACAGGGGGAACTGGGACGTTGGGACTATGTAATTCTGCTCTCATTCTTTTTAAAGAGAAATCCTTAAAGCTTAAGTAAGCTTTTAAAAAATTGAGTTTACTTCTTCTGTTTAATTGTATGAAACCTTTTGTTTCCCCGTACATGTGAGTTTTAAAAAAAAAAAAACTCAAGGCAAATAAAAAAATGTTTAGAAAATACCCTTTTATTTTCATTAAAAAAAATCAAAAAGGACAAACTAATTAAGTTTCTAAAGCCATAAAGTGTTTCCTGAGTAGGTGGAAAATAATGTATTCTCTTGGCATTGAACTTGTTTAGTAATTCATCAATACAAAATGTCGTTGATAAAGAATTTTTCTGTTTATCGTAACACTAGAGATGCTTACTTTTGTATTTCCCACATGTTTTTGCACTACACTGATATGGATACACATGTGACTTACTTGTACAACTTGTAATTAAATCAAAATCATTTATTGAGAAAATCTTGTTTTTATATTATCTTAGTAAGTTTTGATCTTGCCATTTCAGAATTTTTTATCATTTTCATTATTGGAAGATTCTCCTGTTACATACGTTATTTTTTTGCTCAATCACATTACACGTAACTAGTGTGTGCCACGCTTCTTTCAGATGTATGTTTCCAGATGAGTGACCACTTTAAAGTTTTTAGAGCAGGTCTCATTTTCAAATAACTATAAGTTCTATGCTGACCAAACTTCCATGGATGATGCATCTGAAGAAGCACACTAGCAGGCTTGCTTCCAATTCTGGATCTGACCAATATTTTCATGATGAGTGACCAGGTTAAAAGTTTTTGGAGCAGGTCTCATTTCCAAGAACTATGTTGACCAAACTTGCATGGAGGATACATCTAAGTATACACACTACCACACTTCGTTTCAGATACTCATCCAGAAAATATAGGTCAGATCCAGCATCTGAAACTAGTGTGGTAGCTCGTCCCAAGGCAGTTATATTATTGTAACTAAATTCATGCAAGTTTGGTTCAGATAGGACTTATATTTTCTTGGAAATGACCTGCTTAAGAAATTTTAACCTGGTCACTCATCCAGAATATATAGGTCAGATCAGCATATGAAACAAGTGTGGTAGTGTTAGCAAAAAATTGCAGAAACAATTTGAAGGAAAACAGAAGGAATTGCACTGAAAATAACTAAACAGATTAACTGTAACAAACCTTTTTGAGGTTGTGTATGACTTTTAACCTAAAAATAATTCATGTAAAGACGAAAAATCCATTTTCTCAACATTTTTTTCTCGCTTCGAATTTGCCATGTTGACTTTCGGAACTCTCTGGATTGTTCATAGAGTATGCATTGAGTTAGAGTTATCTTCCGTATTTTCTTTGCTTAGATTGCTAATACACAGAACCCAGTCTATCGAAAAACCGGGTCCGTATGACATTAATCATTTTAACTTTAGTTGATGGATTTGAATTACATTTTCTGAATGAGTCACTAGTTTGAAAGTTTTGGATCAGTCCATTCCCAAGTAACTGCAAGCCCTATCAGATCAAAATTACTATTCAATTCAATTCAATTCACTTTATTGACAATTACTATGTCAGCATACAGTCATGAACATTAATAACATAACACAAATTAACACGATTGAATGTACAAAGCAACAAGTGTGAGGTAAACAAAATACTGTATATTTCTAAATACTAATATTCATTGTTGACTTTCTTTTCTGGTGTCAAAGCACTTTTTCAAGAAACAACATATCCTTCTAGCAGTCGTAATATTTGTAGGAATGAGAATTTTTCTAATGGGATTATCACTAATATATGTGTTTACATTAAATATATCGGTATATTGGTCATACTTTGGACAGTATAGAACAAAATGTTTTCCATCTTCAATAAACAATTTACATGAATACCATAGACGTTTTTCTCTAAGAACAGGAGGTTAACAGTATCTACCCGTTTCAATATACAATGGATGGGCACTGATCCATAATTTTTACTGCTAGAAGTGCGGACCAAAAATCCACTCTAAACACTGCGCCACGCAGTTACCTCAAAAGGAAGTACTATTACGGAAGACCTCATTACTAGTAATGAGTTTCTAGTTCTCTGTTATCTTTGTTATCTCTAGCTAATTGTTTGAGAAAGTGTTTTCCAAATAAATCATTATTACACTTTCCCAGTGATTTTTTGTACCTCTTATCGGAAAGTACATCTACTGACTCTGGCATTGTTTTAGCTAAAACTGCTTTACGCCTATCAGTATTGTAAAGGAAATGAGAATTTCCTACAAACATAATTGCTCTTTGGACAAACTGAATTACATCAGAAGGGTCCATACCCTTGCCCGTTCTGCCTATTCGTTCTGCCTCGCTCCATAAAACAGAAAGTGGCCCTAAAGCATCTAGAATTCTCATCTGTGTATTGATTTTATTTTTCTCTAATTTGCCATTCCATTTTTCCCCTTGAAATAAATTTTCTTGAAAAATCTATCCAAAGACAAACCCTGAAGCTTTTTTGAATTAGGTATAGGACAAAACTTTGCAACATTTTGTCTGTTCTTTTTATTGATTCCTTTAGTAGCGTACTTAGTAACAAAATTAAGTATCTTTTTAGAAATTTTTGGTTTAGATTTTGTGCTATCAGCGGAACACAAAAACAAATCAGAATCTGAATCAGACTCGGAACTAGAGCTTGACGAGCTTGAGGAACTAGAGGAACTAGAACTAGAGGAGCTGGAACTTGATTCATTTGAGGACCTGCTCTTTTTACGTTTTTTTGAGCTCGACTGTGTTCTATTAGAAACGTCGCCAGACTTACCTTTTGCTTTTCGAATTTGCTCCGACGACCACTGCCGCCGATAATCATCCTCTGTTTTGTCCGCTACAGAGACATGTTCTACTTGAGAGTCCTCCGATTCATCTACCTTATTGTTATCACTCTTCTCCGCCTCTGCGGGTGAGCTTTCCTGTTCTTCATTACTTTCATGACGTGCCGGCGTTGCCTGTCCAGGACCCGGCGAACGAAGTTGGGCATTGGCCATTCGAACACGAAAACACGTGTACTCACTTGGCGAGCTGAATTGAAAGTCATCGATTATATCTATCGAGCAGATGGGGTTTACCTGAGGCATGCGCAGTAGGTTTTCATACCTGGGTAGTTTTTATCTATTTATAGGTAGTCATACTTTAAAGAGCTGTTATTTTAGTGTTGAATTGAAGGTCAATGCATTATTATATCTCACGGAAATATTTGAAATATAATTCAGGAACTATTTTGCGTCAGCCATGTTTTGACTTGAACCTGGCATTGTGTAAATTAAGGCCTACCGTCTTTTACAGAAGATATTCTTGTTATTCCTGATATCAGAGTAAATTAATAATTTTATTTTACACCAATCAGATCTCTAAAAATCAATTTTCTTCTAGACAATACTTTTTATAACTTGAGTGAGAAGGGGGAGGAGATTTTTCTACGAATACTGTTTTTCTTTTAAACAGTCTTAGAGCTTATGGTTCAGTTCGGGGTGACCTACGCTATTGCTTGCAATAGCAGATTTTCTAGGTTTTTTTAAATTCCTTTCATTTTATTTCATTGTTTTATTTCTTATTGGCTATCGGCTTAACGCATCAACAAATTGATCCAAATCGTAATGACTAGCTATTAAGTCAATACAAGTATCACAAATCCATTCCGTTGTAGCCAAAAGTTCTGAATTAATTTGTTTTCATTGACTTTTACCATGCAGCCAATACACGTTAAGTTAATTTCCTTCTAGTGACACAACATTTTCAAATTTGTCATCGGTCATTGCATTTCAGGTCGAAGCACAGAATCCCTGTCAAATTCATTGTGAAAAGAACAGTTGGTAATAAAAGAATTAACAAAAATATAAAGACCGATGTTTAAATGCAACTGACCACGGCGGCCATTTTTAATTCATTAAACTTAGTCAATTCATATCAACAATGTATGTTACTGTTAATGATGATACACGGTCATTCCTGGAAAAAATTAATCCCCTAAACATAGAACAGCGCTCGCCCTAACGGTTTTAGGGCGAAGAAACCCTGTGCACTATGCGTTTGTATGAATGCAGAATTTCGTAAATCGGCGGCAATGCGAATGGCTGAGATACTTGTTTACTTTAAAGGATGTTTATATGAAGTGCTTTATAATTAAGATATTCCTGAACAAGCATTTTATTGAATGATGATGAGCAATTATTCAATTCAAATTTTACTTCTAATACAATGAATTATTTAACACACATTCTTACATAACAAGTACAACATCAAATTGTACATTTTTGTTATTTCTTTTTTATGTAAAAAAACAAAATCAAAAACAGAAACAAAAATCAAAAACAAAGGATGAATATGTCTTTGAAGTTATATATTTGTCCTGTGTTTCCAAACGAGGGAAATATTGTTGCAGACATGTCCTTTGTGAATAATGACAACATATGGTTCGTGTTAGTGACAACAAAGGTGTAGTGAACTAATCCGGAATTTTCATTTCCGTCATTTTATATCCTCAATTAGTTATGTTAACCCAGTTCCGGCAGCAGAAAATCGTGTATCATGAACACTGACTACGATGACTGAAAGAATGATGTTAAAATTATACCCGTCAATGTGTAAGTAAAATTATATTTAATATTTATTGTAATAGTATTTAACAATATATGTCCAGAGTTTTTATCAAATTTATATTTAATGGATGTATGTTTATCACAGGTTGAAATCAATAAATGATTACTGCTTGACGGTTTGTTTGATTACAACATTTCAACACACGGGAAGATGACTGGCAAACAAGAGAAAGTGGCAGATAAGCATGGAACTCCTCAGAAATCACCAACAGCATTGATCAAGAAAAGAAGAAGATCAACACTGAAAGGGAAGTTTCACAGAATTTTTAATAGATTTGAAGATTTGAAAAGTTCAGAAAGTTTAGAATTACTCAAGAACATCTTGTCTGATATGGAAAACTCGTACAAAGGACTGGAAAACGGACATGCTGAGTACATAGAATTGTTAAATCCAGAAAATGAACAAGATGTCATTGACATGAATAATTTAGATAAAGATATGGACACAATGTATAATGAACTGTGTAATTGTCGTGCAGATGTTAGTAAGCAGTCACTGCTGTAGTGTAAAGACAAACAATCTAAATCAGAAAAGGACTAACAAAAAGAGGGTGTGAAAGTAAAGAAATTAGATGCACCAATATTTAGTGGTGAAATTAGAGAATTTCCGAGTTTCAAGAGAGTTTATGAAAGCATTGTGTTTCAACATATGGAACCGAACCAGTTGCATTAAAGAAGAGTCTCACAAGTGAAGCATTTAATAGCGATTCTCTGTAACCACTTAAACTTCTTTGCCACGCATGGTCACCGATTTTGATGAAACTTTGCCCATTATTACAACTTGACACCAGAAACATATATCAAATAAAATTTTGTTGGCATGTGTCTTGGTTGCCATGGTAACAGCCAGAAAAGTTGAAAAAAATTGAGATTTTCAGCTACTTTGAATCTTTATTAAGCCTTAATAAAGACTAAGAAAAACAAACAAACCATTCTCCAAAAAACATGACACCTTGTTGCCACTTATGCTATAAAGAAACTATTTAGAATTTATCTCTAAGTAAGTGGTAACCATGGGTACATTTGGAATACATTTTAGATGCTGAAAAATGCCGAAAAACGCTCAATATTCACTAATGATAGATGTTACATGATCAAACTCAATCAACAACCAAAGAAAAACAATAAAAATATTTAACCTTAAGTAATTAGGTATTGGCAATATTATTCTAACAATAACTTTCATGGTTGCCATGGTAACACAGTGTAACCATGCAAAATCTGTTGCTACGATTGAGTTAATGCTACTATCTTGAGGAACAACAATAAAATTCATGACTGGCACATATACTTCCTTAGGACCTTGCAACACCGACAACATAAGAAGAATTAGGATTAATTGTTACTTTGCAGTGTAACCATGGAACAATGTACCAAGTGTTTGAAGTGATATTTTTTTTGCTGCTTTAGGAATTTACTTACCTTTTAATCAAGAAACAGAGCATTTTACTCACATTGAATAGCACTTATCTGGTAGAACTAAAGTTGAATATCATATATTGATGAAGTTTGAAAAATACAACACTGTTGCTATGGTTACCAAGAAGGGAAAATGTTCGATTTTGTTAATTTTATATCAATATCAAATCCTATGTGCAAGCTTTTTGCATCCTGTTAGAGATTGGGTGGTAGTCAAAATTGAAAGTCGGGTTAGTTGCTCATATATATCAATCATAAAAGTTTTGGGAATCTACATACAAGGGTACGTATCCAAGGAAACAGAATATTTTTCAGATTTTTATGCATATTTTTTCAGCTAATTTCCATAGCAACGCTCTATTTAAAGAATTGAATTTGAATTTTTTGAAATGAGAAAATTAGGGTCACACAAACGCCTTTAAAAATTGATCATCAGTTGTATAGAAATATGCTTTTTAAAAAGATATGATAAGATTAAGACACTAAGAGCGTAAATTTAAATCCCTTCGTGTTATTAAAACCATGGCAAACATTGCAATCCTATAAGAAATATATTTTATCCTTGGTATATGTAACATGGATCTCTTGTCTATTATTTGTTTGCATTTCAACCTATAATTGTTTTTACTCTTAAATGTACGACTTTATAAAATTAAATGAACAAAATTATTACCTTTGAATACTTTGTTTCCATAGTAACGTATGTAATAGTTGATCTACCAAACCTGTTTATCATGCATTTAAGACACCAGACCTTCAACTTTCAGAAACAGTCATTGTCACTTGTTTGCTTTGCTGCAAACATTAACTGTAGAACTCTTAACATGTTGAAAAATGCCATTTTTCAAACTTTAGGACATGTTGCTATGGTAACCATGACACGTAGCAACCAATTTTTGCCTGATTTGAGTTAACGGTATCAAAGACTTTTATCATAGAGAGTTTGGAGAAATTCTGAGACTATGCGTGCCACAGCTCCTATATAAAAGTTCAAGTCATTACAGAGAATGGCTCTTAAAACTGTGCAGGGTGTAGATAACAATTATGAAGAGATGCGGAAAAGACTAGAACTAAATAATGGCAGACCTGAAAGACTTACCGACTCAATACTTTCTGACATTCGAAATCTCAGAAGTATTCTTGATGGGGATCATCTGTGTTTTATTAACAGTATTGAAATCATAGAAAGATGTTTCTTAAATCTAAAAAGGGTAAACATGGAAAGAAAAATGAATACTACAACTATGATAAGTGAAATCGAGAACATTCTTCCTCCAGTTCAGAAACGCGAATGGATCCTTCAAAAAAAAAAAAAAGAGAAATATGAACAATTTCTACCACTTCTTGACTTTCTTCTTGAAGAAAAAATGCAATGGAATATATGAGAAGCACTTAACACTGATTCTATGTAAGAATCAAAGAAACTAGAAGAGGTCTGGCCACTTGATGTCATCGATTTCTTTAATTTTGGGGGTGCTAGCTTCGTATCATCTATCTTGCACAAATATGATTTAAAAACAAAAAAATATTCATCCGTTGCCATGGAAACCAACCATGGCATCTTAAGGGTGGTTTGTAGCCGTGAAATAGTCCATTTTTGGCCTTTTTTAATATCTCAGCAAATTAAATTTTAATATAAATAGCAAACATTGATTACAAATTTCATTTTTCTACAAATAGATCTCTTTATACCTGCAATCATTATAACTCTGTGATTAAAGATGATTGCATAGGGTACATGCAATTTTTTTTTAATATTTGGCACTGTGCCAAAAAGTGGATTTTGCTTTTAATTTATGCTTGATTTTAAAACATTTGCCTAATACATGGAATAAATGCAATTATAAACAGTACACAAGCATAATCTTGACTTTTAAAAAGCATATTAAAATTAATGGAGAAACATCACACTCTAGAGAAACCATGGCAAGAAAGTTATATGTTTTTGGCACATTGCCAAAAAGTGCAACTTACTCTATTTCTGAGTATATTTTTAAAAAGTATCAAGTATGGAGAAGAAATTTAATTGTTAGCCAATAACAAGCATAATCTCCACATTTTAAACACATTTGAAAGAATTATGGTTAAACTTCATACAAAAGAGCAATCATAGCTTAAAACTGAACATTTGGCACTATGCCAAAAAACTGCATTTTTGCAATATTGCATGCTTGTTTAAAAAATCTTAGAAATACATGGAATGAATGCAATAGTCAACAGTATATAAGCAGAATCTAGACCTTTTTAATTAAGGACATTGGCAAGTCAGGGTTTTCCGGAGAAAAAAGGTTTAATACATGGGTTTTTTTTCTTATAAAATAGTGATTGAGAGTGATCTCCCGTGTAGAATTCGCTAAGCGGTGAAAACTAATAAAGCGTATCGCCGTATGTTACAGAGGTAAACAAAAGCACGTGCACTTCCTTCAACGGGTAGAATCATCTATACAGCAAGAAAGAAAAGTAGTAATGGCTTTGTTGTACATTGTATTCAGGGACAAGGAGCCAACAGGTCGTCATTTACCATTGTTATGCTCAGTATGCTGGATGTCACATATACTAAAAGGTAGGTCAACCATGCCGACTGAGAACAGTTCTTAGGTCGTGTGAAGGAATCAGCATTTAGTAATTACGAATAAAGTTAAAAATAAATCCATGCCAATATTTTTATGACAATGTGTTTCAATCAATTCAGTCAATTACATGATAAAAACAATCAACCAGTCTCTTGACCAATTTTAGCTGTTAAGGGACGCAACTCAAAAATGATGATCGGTGCCGGTATAGCCATGTCTTGTTTCTATATATACATTTTCAGCCAAAATATTTAGAAGTCATAGGAAATGAAGATACAATAATGTATATAATACAAAAACTGTATGAAATAAATGAGTTTTGAAGAAATATTATGGTGAAAAATTTTGTAGGTCCCTTTTATCAACATTTTACATAGGAAATGCATTAAGAATTGTAAAAACACTAATTTGACAAAATCTAAATAGAATGTTGGATTGGTAGGTAAAACGATCCAGAATATAGCATGTTTAGTGCATTTATAGCATGTTTAGTGCATTTAAACCTACTCAAAAGTTCTTGAAAAATTCTATACAATAACCAGGAACCTTGCCAATGTCCTTAAATGCATGAAAAGATTTTTGAAGAAACATTGCACATAAGACTAGAAATATTATGGCATGAAATCAATTGTATGTTCTGGCACTTAATTTGCGATAAATTGCAATTTTGCTGTATTTCAGAGTGGATTAAAATATTTAGCAAGAAACGAGGAGAAATGCAATTTGTAATACACATGCATACAATGTAATCTTGACATAAAAAGATTTATGAACCTCAAGAAACATGACAGATAAGAGATATCAGAACTCATTATTCTGCTCTTCACAGCTAGATGAAAATGTACACAAAAGATCATTAAAATCAAGTTCCCCTAGCATACTGAAAATAACAATGACTATCAGATTTTGTAAATAATTGAAAATTTTTAACAAAAATGTGTAACAAAATGGGAAAAGCACATGTATTTTCCCTCATTAATATACATGTACATGTATTAGCAACTGAAACATTATATATGTGAAAGAACTTCTTCTTTCAGATCATTCAAATTTCTATCAAAAGATGCTGCCAAGAAATCTCCAGCATAACATTTTCTGTCTTTCTGAGAGAGTCTTGAAAAGAAACTTGCTATTTGTGTTGGTGTTAAGTAGTCCTCCATTCTGAAACGCTTTTTTCCATTTACAAGTACATACGGCATGTCTCTCGCCACTTTACTTGGATCCTCCTTTTTTCCAGTAATTTTGCCTGCCTTGAATATTTCTGTAAGGTATTCTTTTTGGTCTTCAGTAAACAAAACCTTCGGCTTTTTCATTTTCAATGCCCATCCAGTTGGTTTGATTGGCTCTCTACATTCCGTTGTTATAATGCCTTCATCATATGATGGACAAGTTGTATTCAAAGCTGACAACTTGTTTTGATAAATAATTTTGCACCTATCTATAAGGTTTCTCTCTGATCTGTCACTACAGTTACCTAGGAGATTGTGATTTTCCAGAGATGTTAAGGAACGAAATGATCTGTCGCAGTTCTCATTGGCACAACAAAACACATGATCTACCGTTTTCCGTTTTCTGGGTAACGACTCAGAAAATTCATTTCTTTCTGTAGTCTCGATCTCATCATCTGAAATGAAATACAAACTGTGTAGAGTACAAAGTGGTCATTATTTGCATTAATCAAATGAACAAAACAACCAAGTATAAACCTTATCATATGATTTTCAAGTTGTGCATTTTTTTTTTTATTCCTGATCCTTGCAAAGGAGATAAAACATACAAGTAGGATAAATAACATATTCAACAATGAACTATGGGAGATTCTTTTTATCATGTTTTACACATACTAGTTACTATCATGTATTTTACACAGACTGTTTCTGTACATTAATTCACTTTATTTTTGTCATAACTTTCATGCAAAAGCCACTGTGACATCACAACTGCCTGATATGCAAAACAATATTCTATGTCCAATATACACTGTGTATTGGAGTAAACATGATAGAAACATGCTATTCAGAAATGCTTATTTGAACCTTGGAAATTTTAAAATGTGCATATACCTGGAGAAAGAACAGCAGGATTTACTTCGTTTGTCCAAGTCTTGATGACATTTAACTGCATAAATGGCACAGTTGTAGTTGTCCATGGTAATAATTATCCTAGAAAATAATAATTAACATTTTTTTTTAATTATTTTAATTAGTTATGTATAATAATCTCATTAAGAACAACATTCCATTTTACTTTTACTACAGTCATATGAATAAATAACCGGAAAAGAGTGCATAAATCAGTGCATCATCTTTTCGATTAATTACCAGCTGCTTAAGAAAAACTCAGAATCAAACCTTTGAGGTTATTGGCTTGGTTTTGGAGAGAACATTTGCAACATACATCAAATGAAGTTTTAGAAAATCAGTTGCTACCTGGCCCAATATTGTATGCCTTCCATACTCGTAATCCATCAGGGCTGAACTCAAAGTTGTTCAGAGATGAAATGTTGGGAATGGCTTTCACACTTGCTTTCTCAGCGTCAGCATCAATGACTGGAGTGACGACTTTGATTCTGTACTGTCCTTTTTGCTGAGTGTCAATAGCCTACAAAATATTGTAAGAAATCAGGTAACTATGATTAAAATGGTTTGATATATAGATCTATTCCCTATTGATTCACATAACAAACAGTCTTACTGAAAATCATCTATTTTGTTACTTGTCAATTTGAAATACACCCACTGATATTTTGATATATGGGACTGAAGAAACATTCATCATAAATAAATAAATGAATGGTTTGTGGCAAGCAATATTAATCATGCAGCAAGTAAGTTACTGACGCAAATGTCTAGGATATTTCTTGCACAAGAAAAGTTGCATTTTTACATATTTATAATAGTAACAACCGGTTCTGAAGCTTAGAATATATATTTCACTCTTTACTAAATAAATTTATTCAATGTCATTAATTTCTCATCTTATTGACTAAAAGTGAGTTTTTGCATGATGAAGACATTACTGATGACAGTTGGGGGAGTGGATGAGGCCGACAATGTACAGAAATATTCATCATATACAAAATTCTCTTTTGGTTCAAATAATTCTTTTTAACATACCTTTTTCATTTGTGAAGCATCGAGAACATCATTCCCCTCATTTATATATCTTTTTATGGCTGACTTTATGTGTGATGCCTTGCGATCACATGGGCCTTTCCCATCTTGTGCTTCACAAAAGTTGTAAGTTTTAATCAATGGGTGTAGTTCCTGATACAAGGCATGTAGAGTGTAGGTACTCTTGTAACATCCTGCGTTGTCAGACCATATGTGAACTTTCTGTATGTTCTTTCTACTTGCAATATCCTTGACAACGTCTACTATCAAAGCTGCTGTGAGTCTGGAATCTTGTGAAGACTGTGAATCAAGGACATGTACATAAGTAACTAGCTCAAAAATATCATTGTGTTTTGTAGCACACACAGCAATGTGCCAATTAATGCCTCGCTTTCCGAACCAGTCTGTTTGACCTTCTCTAAATTTTCTAGGCAAGAACTTCATGGCCCAGTCAGCAACAAGGAAAACATCTCCATCCTCAAGGTTTGCTGTGATGTCTACTCTGGCAACATCTTGGTTTTTAGATCTCAGTACATGTGCCTTGAGTTCCTTTATGGCAGTCACAGACCTTTCCACCTACATTGAAATTTTGAGACAATTTCAAATACTTACAGAAGAATCATGTGGCAAAATTATACATGTTGCATATTTTGGTGTCATTGGTAAGATAAGCTCCACAAAGTACAATGTACTTAACTGTATAAAATTCTAAACCAAAAAATATTTACAAGTGAAAAATGTTCGCATCATTCTGTTTAACAACTACGGGCCTATTAAATTCTGAAATTTTGTTTACAAGGTTAAAAATACCATATGTACCTTAATTCACATATTTCCTTTGACACATTTTACAAACCTTAAACATGTATGCATCAGGATTGTCCCAGTCCATGGTTTTGATCAGTTTCATAAGTGATGACAAAAGTTCATCTAGTTCACTGCATTGCAGACAAGTATATGTATGCTCATGAGAACAATTCTCTTCGAAGAATACACTGTCAACTTGACTAAGGGCATGAGCAAGACAGTGGTCAGCTACATTTGAAGATGTTCTGACATGCATCTAAATTTCAAATTGACAAAATTGAAAACAAGAGGCCCAAGGGCCTTAACGGTCACCTGAGTATGATACAACAATTTAAAGGATGCATAGAGTATAAAATGAACTGAAAGGTGAAACTTTGTTGCCAAAAAGCAAGAAAAATAGGGTGATCATGATCAACAAAATAATTGGTCTTAATATTCATTAACAGTTTACAAATTATGTTCTATAAATCTAATCCCCATTTATCACTATCACCATACAGTATATTAACAAATTATCAATGCTTCTGTACTATTTTAATCCTTTGTTGAAATTTCTTACATTGGCCTCTCTTGGTCCTTGATGAACATTTAATAAGACAAGTTATTTTTGTCTCATTTTTATTTATCTACTACTTACAAGTGTTTCTGATCATTAAAACTATGAAAGTACTTTTTGTATTATACAATAAAAGTTTTTGCATAATTTTCTTATTCTATTTACCTTTCAAGTACATTATTTACAGTGATAAATTATCAAAAGTAAATGGCAAAGGGGAATAACTCCTCTCAGTAGAATACAAAATAATAGAGCCCTGGCCAGGACCAGAACACTTGACCAAATGGTCCAGATGTTCAAAAATCTGGTAAAAATAATCTTCCTTATTAAAACTTTCACTCTTTTTGCCTCTGATATGCCCAAGTGCGGAGAAGATTTTTAAGGAAATAATGCATTTTTACTACAGATTCACTATATTATCAATAGAGCCCCCCCCCCCCCCCCCAACACCAGAGCTTCTGACCCTGGGACCATAAGTTTGCTCATCATAACTAATCACTTTGTTTATCTGCTTAACACCAAGGAGCAAACAGGATTATTTAATAGAATTAATACATTTTTACTATATTATCAAGAGCCCCACCCTCACACCAGCACATCTGACCCAGGGGTCATGAAATTCACTACTCTGGAAGAAGCACTCTTGCTCATCATAACTATACACTTAGCTTCATTGCTTTTTTAACCAGAAGCAGAAAGGAATATTTTCAAATAAATTTTGCTTTTTCACTTTATAATCAATAGAAGCCCCCCCCCCCCCCCCCCCACCAGAACCCTTAAATCTGGGGTCATAAAATTCACAATTTTGGAAGAGGCATCCTTGCCTATCATAACAATGTACTTAGTTTGTTTAAACAATACCCAGGGGCAGAGAAGAAGATTTTCAAAGAAATAATTCACCTTCACTACAGGATCTATATAGCCCCGCCCTAGCACCAGAACTCCTGTCCCCGGGGCAATGAATTTCACAATTTTGGAAGAGGCATCCTTGCTTATCAAACTATGTATTTAATTTGTTTCAATAATACCCAGGAGCAAAGAAGTAGATTTTCAAAGAATTAAGGCATTTTCACTATATAATCAATAGAGCCCCGCCCTAACACCAGAACCCCTGCCCCTTGGGCCATGAAATTCACAATTTTGGAAGAGGCACTCTTGCTCATCCTAACTATGTACTTAGTTACTTTATTTAATACCCAGGAGCAGAGAAGAAGATTTTCAAAGAATTAAGGCATTTTCACTATATAATCAATAGAGCCCCGCCCTAACACCAGAACCCCTGCCCCTGGGGCCATGAAATTCACAATTTTGGAAGAGGAACTCTTGCTCATCCTAACTATGTACTTAGTTACTTTATTTAATACCCAGGAGCAGAGAAGAAGATTTTCAAAGAATTAATGCATTTTCACTATATAATCAATAGAGCCCTGCCCTAACACCAGAACCCCTGACCCTGGGGCCATGAAATTCACAATTTTGGAAGAGGCACTCTTACTCATCATAACTATATACTTAGTTACTTTATTTAATACCCAGGAGCAGAGAAGAAGATTTTCAAAGAAGTAATGCATTTTCACTATATAATCAATAGAGCCCCGCCCTTACACCAGAACTCCTGCCCCTGGGGCCATGAAATTCACAATTTTGAAAGACGCACTCTTGCTCATCATAACTATGTACTTAGTTACTGTATTTAATACCCAGGAGCAGAGAAGAAGATTTTCAAAGAACTAATGCATTTTTACTATATAATCAATAGAGCCCCGCCCTAACACCAGAACCCCTGACCCTGGGGCCATGAATTTCACAATTTTGGAAGAGGCACTCTTACTCATCATAACTATATACTTAGTTAGTTTATTTAATACCCAGGAGCAGAGAAGAAGATTTTCAAAGAAATAATGCACTTTACTATATAATCTATATAACCCCTCCCTAGCACCAGAACCCCTGACCCTGGGGCCATGAATTTCACAATTTTGGTAGAGGGTTCAATGCTTATTACAATCATACCAACAGTTTGACTGCTTGATGTCCAGGAGTAAAGAAGATTTTTAAAGATTGCATTAATTTTGGTGGTTTTAGCCCCACCCCTCAGGCCCCAGGGTGGCAGGGATCATGAAATTCACAATTTTTGTTCCCCTTCACCCATAGATGCTATATGCCAAATTTGGTTGAAATTGGTAGAGCGGTTTCAGAGAAGAAGCTAAAAATGTTCAAATGTTAACGCACATCGCACGACGCACGCCGACGGACAAAAACGGATAGCAATAGGTCACCTGAGTGACTCAGGTGACCTAAAAATGTAGTGGAAGTTTTCCCAAAGAAAAACTTACAAAATATTTGATCAAATTCAGTTTGTTTATTGCATGTTTTTCAGTGAAGTTAAAGCAGGTTTTGTTGTTCAGCCATGTTGGATTTCTTCATAATTAGATAATTCATACCACTATTGTTCTTGATGCAAGTAATTAGATAATTCATACCAAGAATAGTCTTGGTTTGTTATAACAATTGTTTGTTAAATTAATGCAAAGACAAAAGCAAAGCTTTTTGACAAGCTTTTTAAGTGACTTGGTTTTCTGGGAGATTCCCAATTTAGCCTAAATGACGCTGAAATTCCCAATTCTGAGGGTCTCAGCCCCCAGTCCCAAAGTACTGAAAAAAAACACTGTAACACTAAGAGTAGACAGGATTATTTAATAGAATTAATGCATTTTCACTATATTATCAAGAGCCCCACCCTTACACCAGCACATCTGACCCAGGGGTCATGCAATTCACTACTCTGGAAGAAACACTCTTGCTCATCATAACTATACACTTAGCTTCTTTGCTTTTTAACCAGGAGCAGAAAAGAATATTTTCAAAGAAATTTTGCTTTTTTACTATATAATCAATAGAGCCCCCCCCCCTTTTCACCAGAACCCCTGACCTTGGGGCTATGAATTTCACAATTTTGGTTGAGTCACCCTTGCTTATCATAACTATGTATTTAATTTGTTTCAATAATACCCAGAAGTAGAGTAGAAGATTTTCAAAGAAATAATTCACCTTCACTATAGGATCTATATGCCTCACCCTAACACCAGAACCCCTGATCCTTGGGCCATGAATTTCACAATTTTGGAAGAGGCATCCTTGCTTATCATAACTATCTATTTAATTTGTTAAAATAATACCCAGGTGTAGAGAAGAAAATTTTCAAAGAAATAATGCACTTTCACTATATAATATGATCTATATAGCCCCATCCTAGCACTAGAACCCCTGACCCTGGGGCTATGAATTTTACAATTTTGGTAGAGTCACTCTTGCTTATCATAACTATGTATTTAATTTGTTTAAATAATACCCAGGAGTTGAGAAGAAGACTTTCAAAGAAATAATGCACTTTCACTATATGATCTATATAGCCCCACCCTAGAACCAGAACCCCTGACCCTGGGGCTATGAATTTCACAATTTTGGTAGAGTCACCCTTGCTTATCATAACTATGTATTTAATTTGTTTCAATAATACCCAGGAGTAGAGAAGAAGATTTTCAAAGAAATAATTCACCTTCACTATAGGATCTATATGCCCCACCCTAACACCAGAACCCCTGATCCTTGGGCCATGAATTTCACAATTTTGGAAGAGGCATCCTTGCTTATCATAACTATCTATTTAATTTGTTTAAATAATACCCAGGTGTAGAGAAGAAAATTTTCAAAGAAATAATGCACTTTCACTATATGATCTATATAGCCCCACCCTAGCACAAGAACCCCTGACCCTGGGGCTATGAATTTCACAATTTTGGTAGAGTCACTCTTGCTTATCATAACTATGTATTTAATTTGTTTAAATAATACCCAGGAGTAGAGAAGAAGATTTTCAAAGAAATAATGCACTTTCACTATATGATCTATATAGCCCCACCCTAGCACCAGAACCCCTGACCCTGGGGCTATGAATTTCACAATTTTGGTAGAGTCACCCTTGCTTATCATAACTATGTATTTAATTTGTTTAAATAATACCCAGGAGTAGAGAAGAAGATTTTCAAAGAAATAATGCACTTTCACTATATGATCTATATAGCCCCGCCCTAGCACCAGAACCCCTGACCCTGGGGCCATGAATTTCACAATTTTGGTAGAGGGCTCAATGCTTATCACAATAATGCCAACAGTTTGACTGCTTGATGTCCAGGAGTAAAGAAGAAGATTTTTAAAGATAGCACTAATTTTGATGGTTTTAGCCCCAACCCTCAGGCCCCAGGGGGGCAGGGACCATGAAATTCACAATTTTTGTACCCCTTCACCCATTGATGCTATATGCCAAAATTGGTTGAAATTGGTTCAGTGGTTCAAGAGGAGAAGCTGAAATGTTCAAAAGTTTACGACCGACGGACGACGGACGACGCACGACGGACGATGACGGACGAAAACAGATAGCAATAGGTCACCTGAGTGACTCAGGTGACGTAAAAATGAAATTGTGTCAATTTCTATGTATCATGTATTTTTTAATTGATTTTGCTTTATGTTTTAATTAAATTGTTTCAAATAATCATTAATTCATAAAAGTAATATATTACAAATATATCTTACTTTGTAATCAGCCTTTAAATAATACTTGGCTTTCATCAGGTTCTCCAACATTCTCTTCTGCTCATTCAGAGGAATCTGCATTTCCCGAACTACATGTTCTAACTCACGAAAAGCCTCACTAGCTTCTGCAACATAGTAGTCAACTCCTTCAACAGATCTGCGCACAGCAGCACTACACTCTGACAAAATCTTGTACATGGTGCTCTCTCCTAAAAAATACTTTATTAAAAAAAAATGATAACTCAGAATTTCCACAAATACAATTGATTAATATCATAACTGAAACCACCTTCAAATGAAAAATTATGAAAAAATGTGTACATAAGTTTGCAATATTAGTATGTTAATGTATATGTAGTCTTAAGAGTTACTAAGCAAATAAAGTATTACCAATGGCTTCAAAATTTTCCTCTAAACACAGCTGGGAATACTGTCTTACAATTGTCGCAGGTGCTAGACATCTGATGACATATGGTGTTTGAATTAACTCCCCTGTAGTTAGGGTTAGGGTCTTTTCTCCCAGAGGTAGGTCCTTAATGACTTGACTTGATGTTACGAAGTCCAAGAAATGCTCAAGTTTTGAAGAATCTACTTTTTCTCTAGCTTGTTTTTCATGTGGCACTGGTGCTCCAACTCCTAACTCCCTAGCATGTTTCTTAGCAGAGTAAAATTTGTGTTGTGTAACAGATGGAATCATAGCATTAATGTCTTGAAAACTGATCTGGGTGGTAAGAATAGACAATATTTGACGCCGAACTGTTGGTGTCTCAGCTTTTAGGTAACTCTCAGTTAAAGCCTCAACAAGTGCTGGTGACTCATAATGAGTGTAAGACTTTTCTAATTTGGAAAACATGGCATCTTTTAAGGCATCACTTTCTCCTGGACATATTGTCTCTAAAAGAAGAGAGAGGCATTCATTTGCTTTGGCGGCATATCTTCTTCTTGTTCGCTCACTTGAACTAACAAATGACTCTCGAAGTGTTTTAACAGGACTCTTGTTGCATGCTGCAAGGAACTCGTTCAGCTTAGAAAGGTGATCAATACCAGAAATTGATGCTTCTGAAACTTGGTTTTCTTGGCTATCCATTGGTGTTTCTTGACTGGATTCAATATTTTCCTACAAATACAAGAAACAATAGAAAAAATTTGACTTTGTTTAACATAAATCAGTGATTTTGCCCTTTGTTGAGATTGACCAATGACCTTAACCTTTTATTCAAGCAGTCTATATTTTTTTTTACAGTTGTACATCAAGCATAGGGTCCTCAGCATATTGTGCGGTCAATATATTTCAATGTCCAGTTTTACCATTGACACACTGGCATGTGACCTTAAAATCAATAGGGATTATCTACTCCTTAGAGGGATCCAGTGTACCACATTTAATGTCTGTCAAGCAAAGAGTTCTAAAGATACTAAAAGTCAATATCCTCCTATGTCCAGTTTGACCTTGTCCCTTGACTTTGTGACCTCAAAATCTGCAGTGCTAGGCCAAACAAAAAATATGTGTGGTTCCAGTTAAACTTCCAAAAAAATTAGATTAGGTAGGTAGGGAATTTTTTTTTTATTTTTAACAAAATGATTTTCTTAATTTTTCTAAATAATACCTATCACTGCTTTGCAAATGGCATTTAAATGTGATGTGATAATATACAAGTCAATATTGGTAGGGGACACCTACATGCTAGCTTGCTTTGGACTTAATACTATTAAACACTTGCACTATGTTTTGCAAGGAGGCCGTCATTGCTAACTAAAACTTAAACCGGAGCCACTGATGGAAATTGGGGAAAATTCCGGAAAAAATATGAAAATTGCCCCCAAAAAGTTTAGGGTCGGGGGTATAAAATAGGGAAGGTCGGGTAACCGGAACCACACATATTTTTTTATTTGGCCTTATCCATTTCTCAGGGGGAACCAGCTAGTGTATTAAATTTGATGTCTGTCAAGCAAAGGGTTCTAAAGATATTGAACAGACAATATCTTCCTATCTAGAGCAGTTTGACCCTAAACTATTGACCTTGTGACCTAAAAAGACTACAGGGGGAACCAAGGTATAAAATGTGATAACAGTCAAGCAAAGAATTCTCAAAATGTTAAGGGGACAACACTTGGTCTACCTATTAACATACCAACTGACAACTAATGGATTTAAAGCAAGGGGGCATAAAAACATAAACTCAACAATTACAATACATATATATATGTGTGTGTGTGTGTTGCTGAGAAAACTGCGACGAAAAAATTGTTACAGACAGACAGACACACAGAGAGACTGACACACAAGGGTAAAACAGTATACCCCGCTCTCCTTTGGAGCCAGGGTATAAATATCAAATCTCTAAACATATGTGTGACTCTTTCAGTCCAAAAGATTTAACAGACAGATGAAGAAAAAGACACCAGGCAAAGTGATCTCCGAGTCAATCTAAACTAAGCATCAGCAGATGATGTAAAACATTTGGTCTAAACACTTTTTGTTATATTTTAAAAGCCAAAGTCAGCTGTTTATAATTACATGTACATCTTAGCTAGGTTCTGGGGAGATTAGAATTTTTTTTAAGGTATATACACTTAACATGACATTACAAATAATATTCTTGATCATAATAAACACAATCTTATTCAAATGGCTTTCTCAAAGTAAATCTTATCATTATATAATTGAAAAATTCCTATCTCTCTGATTGGTTGAGATTTAACATTCAAAATGATACATACCCCCTCATCCTTTCATTTTTTTAAATCAGCCCATATAGAATTTTCTAGAAGTGACCTTGAACTTGCCAAATGACCTTGGCTAAAAAAAGAAACACATCCTCTGGTCATAAGTAATCTAAAAAATATGGACCTGATATAAATTTAAAAAATTTTCTACCTTGGGTCAGGTGATAAGATACCCTTAAGTATATGCCTCCAATGATTCTCCTTTACAGAAAATAGCCCAGACATTTTTGTACAGACAGCTATTCAGACAGGCAGATGGATAATATGATTCATATCCCCCCCCCCCAAAATTCCAATATTTGTTTTTTTTCGGGGGGGGGGGGTATAATAACAAAAAGACGAGTAAGGAGATATAAAATTTACATTGAAATAAATCTATGATCTTACATTTTCATCATTGTGTATTTGAATTCTTGGTCTCAAAGACAATCCACCACATTCTGTACTCTGTTCCACTGCCTAAAATAAAATAAAATAAAATAAAAAGTACCTGGTACAAGCTGATTATTCACTTGATTATTATAGAACCAATGTTCAAGGGCTAAACCTATACATTAGTTACAAATATCTTGATTTTCAACTTAATTGATTTGATAATATCTTACATGTTTAAATTAAACAAATACATGTATATTAAAAATTTTAATGATTAAACTTATGATAGATACTTACTACCTTGCAAGTCTCTACATCACTATATCTAAATTGAATTCCCTAAATAGTTTAAAGCACAGCAAGATGTGCATATACATGTAGCTGAGAATACATTGAAAAAAATCTATGATCTTACAATTTCATCATTGTGTATTTGAATTCTTGGTCTCAAAGACAATCCACCACATTCTGTACTCTGTTCCACTGCCTAAAATAAAATAAAATTACTTGATACAAACTGGACTATTATAGAACCAATGTGACTTGTTCAAGGGCCAGGCCTAAATTAAAATATTGTTTGTTTGCCCTCAGCCGACCGACCCACGAAAATTCGCCCGACTAAAAATATTTTATTGCTCTTTTCATTTCCAATTTTTTTTTAATTTAAATAATTTCAAACTAGTTTGTTTTAATCTTGTTAAAAACTTCTTTAAGGTCATTTAAATGCTTTGATTAGTACATATAGCATTAAAAATAAAATGTGATTGGCAAAATCTGTGTTAATTCTAGAATATCTATTTTGTTTATTCAGTGCATGCAGCAATATCGCCTTAGATATTTAATACACGCAAAGGTGTGAAATGTACAGGAAATCATGTCTCGCTTGAACACACAACTGACAAAAGTAGTAATAGGGGATAGAAAATAATGACTGAGAATTGGAGCATAATTTGTAAAAGATATCAAACATAAATTATTAAACAATTAAAATAATTATCAAAATTGGAGGTGCTTTTTAAAACCGAAAGTAGAAAAAAATCGTTGATGAGAAAAAGTGGCAAACAAGGTTGCTGATTTTACCTTCAGATACATTAAAGGTGCTTAGACACAGATTTTAAGTTAATATTTTCTCAAATTTTCTGTATAATATCACGACTTATATATTGAAATAGCATTTCACACGAAAATATAATTAAAAACTTATTTTATCTGGAAATTATTTGAACTACGAATTCCGGGACGCGTTTGATTAACACATCCTTGCACTTTCACAAATTTTATCTTTATCAATAATATTTAAGAAAAGAAGCGATTTTGTTGTGTATTAATGAAAAACATTACATCTATAATCCACAAAAATTCAGAGAGAAATATGCGAAAGCAAACCCCCTCACTAATATCGTCATCCCGTGCTCAGTGTTGTGTACAGAGTTAAACAAATTGAATATACCCGTGAAATGTAAACTGCTTTTGTAAACAGGGCACGAGCTCTGTTATTGTTAATGTTTACGATTCACCGGGTGTGTTCAATTGTTAAAGTCTGCACACACCACTGAGCACGGACTGACAATACTGTGAGTGGGTTTTGCTTTCGAACATTTCTACTCTGAATATTTTGGATTATAGTTTTAATATTTTTCATTAATACACAACAAAATTGCCATTTTTCTTAAGTATTAAGAATAAAATTAAAATTTGTGAAAGTGCAAGGATGTGTCAATCAAACGCGTCCAGAAATTTGAAGTTTCAGTAACTTCGAGATGAAATAAGATTTTTATTATATTATAGTATGAAATGCTATAGCAACATATAAGTCATGAAATTATGCAGAAAATTTGAGAAAACATTAACATCAAATCTGTGTCCAAGCACCTTTAATAAGTCAACTTACATAAATGTACTGTATACAGGAAAATTTTCGTCCCCGTTTTATTTTCGTTCCTTTCGCCCTTGTCACAAGTGGGCGAATTTAAAACGGGGCAAATTCAAAGAACACAGTATAATTCCTTAAACAAAACCGTGACTGGGCGAATTTAAAACGGGGCAAAACTGTTCGCAAGTGTAAAAGGGCGAAAATAACATGGGGCGAAAATAACCCTGTATACAGTACTAAAATTTAAAAGATGAATGAGAAATGGGCTTGGTAACACAGAGTATGAAGTCAAAAGTCAAATACATTAAATGATGTTGTTCAAACGTGAAAGTTGATACCCGCAGGTTCAATTGTTTCCGAGTCAGAAAGAAGTTCTCAATAGGATTTACATCATTTTTTAAAAAATATAAATTATTAATTTTATTGATGAGTTTTCACTTGATATATAATTTTCCATAGCTTTTTTTTTTTTTTTTTCTAATTTCTAACCCCCTCCCCCCTTTCCTTTATTATTATTTTTTTTTTACACAAATTAATACAAGCAGACAAAAAGTAAATAAACCACCTCAAGGCCTAATAAATTATAAGCATGCAACAGAAAACATGTCTAATAATTCCTTTTTCTTATTGCAGCATAATGTGCCCTTCTGCCCATGTACATGTACAATCATGCATGTAGGGGAAAATCAAATTCGGTTATGTCATGTGTTCTTAAGCCTAGGGTGGACCCACAATTTTTCATGGGAATGTAGAAATCTTTCAAAAACAACCATTAGAAGAGCAGCAATATCGAAAGTGACACAAATGAGCATTTTGGCTGTTATGCTTCTTTTCAAAAGAAAAAATAAAATATTTTTCCTACCTACCTACCCATTGTTAAAAATCTGGGTTGGAAAACGGCAAACAACCAATTTTTTAATTTTGGCCCCAAACCAATACATAAGTTACAAATATCTTGATTTACAACTTCTGATCAGTTGATTTGATAATATCTTGCATGTTTAAACTTAACAAATATATTTAATGATTTAAGTATGGCTCCGTGTAAAAATCATGCAGGGGGTGATACATGGGGGGTTTCAGAATTTTTTCAAACTTTGCATGTTAATAGGGTATGCTAAGATACTACAAAAAATAAAATGATTTTTT